CGAACTGCAAGAGCTCAAACAAAAGCACAATGATAAGGTAGAATTTTTCATTCAATTGTTTTAATTTTTGCCCCTTTAGTCTTCTTGGTAATAAAAAGCTATGTTTCATATTATAGGTGGAAAGCTTATTAAATCAACTGTCTGAGGTCAACACTCGGTACTGTGAGGTGCGGCCGGCTGTGGATATCGCCGAGACTCGTGCGCGTGAATTAGAAATGGAATTAGAGGCTGTGAAGACTGAGCTTAATGAACAGAAAACGCTTTTGAATGAGCAAGAAGAGAGAAATAAACAAATGTACCTGAAAATGTATGCCAAAGGTCAAGAAGCCGCGCGCATTGAACAAGCCGATCAGGTACGATTAATATATCGAAAATAAATGTAAAGGTGAAAAATATAAGCAAGATCGCAGACACTGAATACTTTTTATAAAATTACAGATATTTGTGCAGGCACATCAATCACCGCCTAAAGTCACCGTTGCAGAATTGCTTCAACAGCTAACTATTACACAAGCTGAATTAGAGAATATTAAGGTGAGATGTGATTTATTTATAGTCCGCGTATAATTTTAAAGTTCTGCGTTAATAAATATAGCGGTATAGATTGATTGAAAATTTTACTCGTTTTATACAAGATGGGGAATTTTCAATGATTTCTAATATTTTTCAAATAGAATTGTTAGTATGATCTTTAATCGTTTTAAACATTAATTATTAATAACAGTCTTTTTCAGCGAATTTATCATTTTCGTTGTCATTAACGAGTTTTCATATTATTAGTTTGCATTTTGCGATATTTGTACACAATAAGTTTCCTATTAATTCGACATTGCATTCTTATTTTTCTTGCTTAATCATTAGAATGTTTTTTGTACTTTCTAAATGCGTTCTATCTAAACTATATAACGAAATCGTATAATAACTGATTTTCTCACGATTGAGATAAAAAGCGAGATTTGCTAGTGATTAATTATGCTAACACAATAACACGCCTAATAAGGTGAATCTCAGACGCGTTTTTTTTACATAGTCCGATCAGCTTTTACATTTGTTTCGCAGGCATTGTTTATTCATTTCTCACATTTATCACATTTATTACACTTATCATGCGTGTATCACATTTTGAGCATCCTCGTAGTTCACAATACTCTCGTACTAACGATGTACCACTTTTTTTGGTCGCCGCTCACACTCCAGGACACAAGCTACTCGCCTGAACCTCACATTTCAGCCGAACGTAGCCAAAGTTTATTAAGCGCTCAGGAGGCTGTTTCTCTCTGGGTCCTTGGCACACGTAAGGTCTGTATCTTAACTCGGCTGCTACGTGATGACGCAACTCTCATCCACTTTTTATCGCCCATAAAGTAGCAGTTGTTCGCATATATGATGCACCGGTATTCTATCAATGTTTTACTGCATCAAGAGCTGATATTTCAACACACAAATGTAATATTTGTCATGGTTCCTTTTATAAATTCCGAAATTAGATAAATAGATTGATATGTGTGTGTGGACATATCTTTTATAACTTGTTTAAATAATTTATTATTTTGTAATTTCCCAGATAGTGAAGTGTTGTCAACAGAGTTTGCTGACATATTATGCCAGTATATTGATGGCAGAAACCTAATAGAATCAGCACATTCGAGCAATCTGATGGCAGACTGGCAGAAGTCGAACTGCAACTTCTGTTCAGTTTCTGTAGCCAATTTTTTGACATAGCATGTCACCAGACTTGTTATATTTCTGATGGCAGTTTGTCACCATATTGTTTAATATTATAGACTGTTTAATATTATAGACGAAATTTTTTCCCCTTTCTGTTGTGTTAGAAATCGTAGTTTATTCGTTCTGCTGAAAATCTATCTTCGCAGGCTTGATTATTTGGGTTATTGCACAAATGTTATGTCAGAGTAATCGTCACATATTCATAAGTAAAAAGAGTGATGTTAACTCTTCGGAGACAAATCTCGTATATAAGTTTCATAGGACAATCAGTTCTTGAATAAATAAGGGCGTGTGGAAAAGAGCACGATTGCGCTCCTCTTTTTTTCCTTTTCATTCGCGTTAGTGAATGCTTGCTGCAACAAATGCATGCGGTCTATGAAGCACAAACGTAGATGGTTTATTCTTCTATACGTTGCTCTTAGATCGGGCGATGTTATCCAGTGCACTTGGAAGAAACAGCCTCTTATATCTTCGGGCAATGTAAGTTTTGCACGAGCTTACAAGCAATGCACGCTTTCACCATACTTTCACTATATTGCATAAAATTTGTATACTATATATTTGAATGTAGACAGATCGATTAATTCCAAGTGATTGATTTTAATATTAACTCATTAAAATGTAATATTGCATTGATGTATACTTTTTAAAACTTTAATTTCATATATATATATATATATAT